ATATATATATATATATATATATATATATATATATATACATACACACACATACACACATACATACATACATACATACATAATGTTCTGCACTATATTTAATTTCAATTTTTGCTAATGATTACTTTTAGTAGTTCCTTGTGGTGGTTTCTGATGAAGTGGTAAGACTGTAAAATGAATTTATTAATGTGAAAAACATATTATGGCTCAGAATATATTTTTCATAGGAGATCAATTCTTATCAAATACATTTAAAGTGCGATAAGTTTTGGTATCATAATAAAAAAATGGAAAAAAATCAAACTAACTTGGAAAAAAGTTCCTTCATTGTGTTAAGCTGTTTGCTTAGGGTTTCTATCTCCTTTTCTTTTTCTTTCAGCTTGTTTCTCATTCCATCAGCTTTGGTCTGCCATTTTTTACCTTCCTCCCATTTAATTAATTCTTCCCTTGGATTCTATAAAGTGAAAAAAAAAGAACATTATTCCCCTTTAAAGGTTTGCAATTCATCAGTCTAATGAAGCATACATTTCTTGAAAATACGTGCCTCTGCATGTGTAAACAAATACTATATATAACGTAATATATTTTAATAAAAATACCATATATAATTACAAAATATGGGAGGGGCATAACAAGTCAGAGATAAGTTATATTGTCTAAGGACATTTTATATCATACTTTCAACACCCTGTCTTCTCTTGGATTCTTTTTTTCTGATTCATCACTCTTCTTTCCCAGCTCCATTTCCATTTTTTTAATTTTTCTTTGAAGTTCATCTATTAGAGTTTGCTCATCAGCCTTACTCTGAAAAATAAGGGATAGCTTATAGTTTCTATACATCACAAGTGATATGGTACTACAGCATTAGTATAAAGACAATCTGACAAGTATGAATATTTCATAATTAGCAATTTCGCAAGTTCGTTTGGAAAAAGTGGATACTACATAATTAATAGTTTGACTATAAATGTTGTTATATATTTTATTTACTGAAATGACATCGAACAAGATGCAAGAAACATGTGAAAGCATTCTTCAAGCTTAAAAAAGAAACCTAGATGGTGTAACAAATGTGTTCTAAGCAGATTTCTGCATGAATGCAGAATGACTTGTTTCATGACTGGATGATCAACTGCAGTGCTAAAAAAATAAAACCGTCAAAACCCACAAAAATGTCCTATGACAAAAAGGACTATTTACCTGAATTGAACTGGTTAATCTTTTATTCTGCTTTTTCAGTTCTTCATTCTCCTTTTCCATATCATCTTTCTGCCTTAGAACTTTAGTGTAGGCTTTCATTTTTTTCTGAAGTTCTTGATTTAAATCATCCATATCATTTAACAGAGAACTCTCTTTATTTTTGCTTAATTTAAGAGCATCTTTAAGTTTTAACAATTGGTCATTTAAATCTTCAATCTGACTCTAAAAAATAATATATATATATATATATATATAAATTATTATTCAGGACAACCAAAGAATGATAGATACCATTAAATTTATAGAAAAAAAGGTTGAAAGCATTAATTTCTGACAATAGAAGATAGGGTCTTATCCTAGTCGCAAAACACAGGAAAATTCAGTTGTATTTATGGCTCCCAATTCAAAGCTAGAAATTGTTTTTTACCACTGCATCCATTTTCCCAATATTATCTACTTTTGCTGACTGTGATTTTACGATTCGTTTTATCTGAGAAAAAGATCTCTAACTAGGGTTTCCTGCTTGAATAGAAAATGGGCACCATGGGCAGGAAAGCCTCTACCCAGATTTCAGTTGCATATCAACAAATGCAGCCATTCCTGCAGCAGGAAGAAACAAGTCAAAATATCTGCTACAAGGAAGAGAAGAAAACTGGGAGCATTCAAGGCTTCGATATATTGTCTGGTAATAATATTTTTTTGTATGGATTACTATTGATTTTAGGAGTTTCTGTTCTGGCTATATGTTTTTCTAATGACTTTATATTTTGTTGTTGTAGACCAGGAGTGTCAAACAGTTGGTCCATGGGCTGGATGCATCATATGCAGGTCACGCCATCCCAGCTCCACAAAGGCAAAAAACATCACAATATGTCACATGATGTGATCTAGTTTGACACCCATGTTGTATAATTCATCCAAAATCAATAACTGAGGTGAAGAACTCTTACAGTTTGACACCCATGTTGTATAATTCATCCAAATTCAATAACTGAGGTGAAGAACTCTTACAGTGGTCCTTAAAAGTTTTTGAAACCTTTTAAATTGTCAATATTTCAGTGTAAATATGATTTAAAATGTGTTTTGTTTTCCTAAATCCTAAAACTAGAGAAAGAAAACCCAATTAAACAAACCAGTCAAAATATTATAGTGAAAAATTCAAAATGTTCACAAACTTTTAAGAACCACTTGGGTTGTTTGTTTTAAATTTACTTTGTTGTTTCCTTTCCTTTTATTTCCTGGCTAAAGCTGTAATGCAATTGAACTGAACTGCTAGTCTATTGGAAGAACCGAACTGCAATACTCTAGATGTTATTAATTATTCAAAATACCGTGTTTCTCAGAAAACACGACCCACCCCAATAGTAAGGCCAATCCTAATTTTTTGAGGGTGGGCCTAATATTACTCCTACCCCCAAAATAAGCCTGGGGATGGGCATGGCCAGCATGAGTGGTGGCACGGGCATGGGGGGGGGGGGGGGGCAAATGTCCAGCTGCAGAGCGGGGAGAAAGTCATTCTGCGCTGAAGCAGAGGCATTCCGAGCATTCAATATATCCCAGGATTGCAACACTGAAGATTCGGAATGGAGCCTTCTGCATTGCAATCCTGGGATACACTGAAGGCTCGGAGTGGAGTCGTTTTCATGAAAGGCAGAAAATGGGGAGGGGAATTTTCCTGTCTGTAATCCATTCCTCTTAGAGCAGGACCCTGCAAGGTTTGTTGTGGCGTTGCACTCATGAATGGTAGCACCTCCGTGAGCTTCATCACACCGGTGTAGCTGGCATCCTACCATGAGCAACTGCGCCAGTGTATCCAAACTCGCGGCAGTGCCACCGCTCGCAAGCACAATGGCACAACAATCCTTGCAGGGTCCTGTTTGAAGAGGCTGCACTAATATGACGAACCTCACAGCCGCCGCTCACACACACACTACAAAAAGCCTTGCAGGATCCTGGGATATGCTGAAAGCTCAGAGTGGAGCCATTTTTGTGAAAGGCAGGAAAATGTGAAGGGAGAGGGAGCTTGAGGAATAGATGACAGGCAGGAAAATCCCCCCTCTCCGTTTTCCTCCTGTTTGCCAAAACCCTACATTTCGAATGCTGAAGTTTTGGAATTGAGGCTTTTTGGCAAACAGGGAGGAAAATTGGGGGGGGGGGTTCCTGCCTGTCATTCTTCCCTCAGTCTGTGCTAAGCTTGTGGAGTAGCTCCTTTTGGCTGCTACAGAAGTGGCCCAGTGGAGAGGCAAGGGTGTACACGGGGCGCTTTCAGCTGCTAAAGAAGGGGACCGTTGGAGAGACAAGGCACATGGGGCATTCCTTTGGATAGAAGCAGCCCGGGGGGAGGAGCATTAAGACATCCCTCGAAAAGATGGCCTAGCCGTTTTTTTTAGGGATCTAAAAAAAATAAGGTCCTGTCTTATTTTCTAAGAAACATGGTTGTTGCAAAATACTATGATGTTTCAATTTATTATTGTTTTTCTAGGAAAATATTCAGAACCATATTCTTTTCTGATACATTATGTTAATAAGTATCTTCCTGTGAAAGCTCAGTTTGCAATACTTGTATTGCATTTCAAATTGTATTCTTTTGACTATGCTGCAGCAAACAAATACAAATAGTACTTCAGCTGTTACATTTCTTTCTGACTGTAAAAGTAATTTATTATTCTATATCCTGCTCCATTCTAGGAAAATGCCTTTTGTTATAGGAAGCATTATACATACATCTTCCAATTTTTGTATAATCCAGGTAGACTTATTTAAGCATTTATTTCAGATGTCCTGATATAGCAGAAATGTGTGTGACTGCGATTGTTATATCACACTGATATATCATCTTTTGATACTGTTTTTCCTGTTTAATCTGTTACAGATGTTTTGATAAAAGAAAATGATACTTCTGCCTCAAATAACTATTTCACAATAAATACTGTTCATCTAAAACCCAGAAAGATGAATGTTCTCTCAAAAGCTTGATGAGATGTCCTTCAAAAACTCTATCAGATAACTGTTAATAACTCAAGCTGAAAATTTTGAATATTAATGAATCATGTCTTGCTTTCTCAATTCATAGTTTCAGAAATTATCCAAATAATTACCCATTCTTTTATTTTAACTTGCCTCTTCTATTAATGATCCATTTTTATTAACAATTGCAATTAAGTTCTTAATTATTGGCTAGAAAAACTTTTGGGAAACCAATAATTTCCTAGCTTTCACTCAAAAAAACCAGAATAAAGGTTGGAATATTCAGTATCATAGATATTGGAGAGTCCAATACCGATTGAGGTCCTGGGCCACCAGGACAGAAGGAATAGCATTTCTATTTCCCATTATTTGGTTTAGGATAGATAGATAGATAGATAGATAGATAGATAGATAGATAGATAGATAGATAGATAGATAGATACAAATTTAAAAACTTAAAAACCAAATATGTAACTGAGAGAGAAAGCCGCTGTGAGAATTGCTGGTTGCTACTGCCCGATTCACATAAAGTTTTCATATAGCTACACCAATATTGCTTTCACCCTGTCATGTGTTGTCAACAAATGAACAAAATTAGGTTGTAAATGTATGCATTGGTCAGAAAGTATTTTTTAAAATCTTCAACAATGGTCGCTGAGTAGTTGTTAAATGAGGAGCAGGTACAGCTTTAATATGCATCCATCCCAATTGTGACATTTTTGGGGGACAAAAAATGTAATTTTCAAAGTGGGATATATTGCTGCTAGACACTGTTTTTGTATGAAAACAAACCAAACCAAAATTCTGGTTCCTTTTTACCTTCAATTCCTTTGTGTGCTTGTCAACAATTTGCTGAACATTCATATGTGCCTCCTTTTGTGATGCTACAGAAATTATCTGTTGCTCTGCAGCTGCTGTCATTTCTGATCGGAGTTCCAGAAGTGCCTTGCTCAAAGCCTAAAAATATCATTAAAAAGATACAAATGAGCTCTGCAAATAAAATAAAAAATAACTGTCATTGTATTTGTATATGTAAATAAACCCAGAATTTAACTTTCTTTAGAACTGGAGTTGCAACCTTTTCTGGATGAGGTCTTTGAATGACATCTTTGGAATAAACTCCAAAAATTAATAAATGATGTGACAGAAAGAAATATTTTATTTATAATTAACATTATTTATATAACTGTCTCTGTGTGTCTGTGTGCGCGTGCGCGCGTGTGTGTATATATATGCCAGCAAAAAAGGTATTTGTCACCAACAAAGGTACCAGGCCTTATTTTCAGGGGATGTCTAATTACTGACTCACCTTGCTGCCGTTGCACCAACAGCCCCGCCCAGCAAAAGCCTGCTGCCGCCCCACTTATTCTGTGGCTCATGTCTCCCCCGGCCTCCATTTCACTATCAGAGGCCTTTGGAAAGACCTCTACAGCTAAGAAACAAACTCTGGATTGACATGTGCAGCGCCTCCTAGCTTCTGTTTTGCCATCTGAGGCCATCTGGAAAGCCCTCTGCAGCTGAAAAAAGAGCTCTGGATAGATCCAGGGCTCTGTTATTGGCTGCAGATGCCTTTCTGGAAAGGCCTGATGGCAAAACGGAGGCCAAGGATGATGCGTGTGAGTGATGGCAAGTGGCCACAGAAGTAGGCCTGCAAGGTGAGGCAGGTGTCGAGGTGTGGGAGGCCTGGTAAGTATGGCAGCTTCACCCCCCCCCCCATCTAAATTTTTACCATGCATCTCACCTGATTCTATGTACCCCAGACTGATACAGATAATCAGAGTTGGAAGGGACCTTGTAGGTCATCTAGTCCAACCCCCCGCCCAAGAGGGAGACCCTATACCATTTCTGATAAATGGCAGTCCAATCTCTTCTTGAAAGTCTCAAGTGATGGCGCTCCCACAACTTCCAAGGGCAAGCTGTTCCATTGGTTGATTGTTCTCACTGTCACAAAGTTTCTCCTTATTTCCAGGTTAAATCTCTCCTTGTTCAGTTTCCATCCATTATTCCTTGTCTGGCCTACAGGAGCTTTAGAAAATAGCTTGACCCCTTCCTCCCTGTGGCAGCCCCTCAAATATTGGAAGATTGCTATCATGTCTCCCCTGGTCCTTCTCTTCACTAGACTAGCCAAGCCCAGTTCCTGCAACCGTTCATTGTATGTTTTAGCCTCCAGTCCCCTAATCATCCTGGTTGCTCTTCTCTGTACTTTTTCTAGAGTCTCAACATCTTTTTTATAATGTGGTGACCAAAACTGGATGCAGTACTCTAGGTGTGGTCTTACTAAGGCTTTATAGAGTGGTATTAGTTCTTCCCTTGAGCTTGACTGTATCCCTCTGTTAATGCAACTTAGGATTGCATTAGTTTTTTTTGGCGGCTGCTGCACACTGCTGGCTCCTATTTAGCTGGTTGTCCACTAAGACTCCAAGATCCCTCTCACAGTTACTGCTATTGCGCCTGGTTTCACCCAGTCTATATGTGTACTTTTAGTTTTTCCTGCCTAAGTATAGGACTTTACTTTTCTCTACACTGAATTTTATTAGATATGGCCCAGTGTTCTAGTCTGTCAAGATCCATCTGGATCTTGAGCCTATCTTCTTGGGTGTTAGCTATTCCTGCCAGCTTAGTATCATCTGCAAATTTGGTAAGTTCCCCTTCTATTCCCTCATCTGTCGTTAATGAAGATATTGAAGAGTACTGGGCCTAAGACAGAACCTTGTGGCACCCCACTGCTTACTTCCCTCCATGTAGACTTAGACCCATTAAGGACTACTTGTTGAGTACGGTTTGCCAGCCAGTTGCAAATCCATCTAGTGGTGGTGCTATCTATTCCACTTTTTTCTAGCTTACTAAGAAGTAGGTTGTGGTCTACTTTATCAAATGCCTTGCTGAAATCTAAATATATTATGTCCACAGTATTTTGCTGGTCTACTAATTTAGTCACTGTGTTGAAGAATGAAATAAGATTGGTTTGGCATGATCTGTTTTTAACAAACCTGTGCTGACTGCTAGTTATTACTTTACTTGTTTCTAGATGTTGGCAGATCTGTTTTTTATGATCTTCTCCAGTATCTTCCCGGGTATTGATGTTAGGCTGATTGGTCTATAGTTTCCTGGGTCTATTTTTTTTCCCTTTTTTGAAGATGGGAACCACATCAGCTCTTTTCCAGTCCTCTGGTAGTTCCCCAGTGCTCCAGGATTTTTGAAAGATATGGTGCAGTGGTTCTGAGATGACCTCTGCCAGCTCCTTTAAAACTCTGGGATATAATCCATCAGGCCCTGGTGATTTGTTTTCATCAAGATCAGACAGGTGCTCTCTTACTAATTTTTTGCTTATTTTAACTTTTATTTCTGGTCTGTCTTTTACAGTTATGTTTTTGGTGGGTTGAGCTGGATTGGGCGCACATGTAAAAATCAAATTAGAACTTACTTCTGGGCTAAGTTGTATTTTCGGGGAGACATGGTATGTATATATATCCTCAACGTATGACTACAATTGTGGTCAAAATTTCTGTTGTTAAGTGAGACACTTTGTTAACTGAGTTTTGTCCCATATTATGACATTTCCTGCCTCAGTTGTTAATAATCACTGCAGTTAATAAGTTAGTAACCCGGTTAAGTGAATCTGGCTTTTCCATTGATTTTGCTTGTCAGAAGGTTGCAAAACCTTGATCATATGGTCACAAAAGGTCATATGAACTTGGTATACAGCAATGGTCATAAATATGAACCAGTTGCCAAACATCTGAATTTTGATCACATGACCATGGGACTGCTACAAAGGTCATAACTGTGAAAAAAAGTCTTAAGTCACTTTTTTCAATGCTGTTGTAACCTTGAATGGTCACTAAATCAACTGTTGTAAATTGAGGAGTGTGTGTCTGTGTCTGTGTGCCTGTGTGCCTGTGTGTGCATGTGTGTAACAGTCCAAAGTCAGTTAAGGCATCTCAGGGACTGGACAGGTCAGGATAGAAAGGAATGAAAGGACCATCTTTATTTTGCAGTCATCACGCAAACCAAGTAGAACAAAGGAAAGACACGCTATACCATTATTGAAACACTCAAGTCTTCCAGCTCTGAAAAAATGTTGGCATATAGGGAGCTTTTCTGTTTTCATTTACAATTTTTAGTATGGCTTATAAAATGGCTTTGGCTATCTTTGAATAATATACTTAACCAAAAAGCTTTTTAATGATTGCACCCGTCCCCTCCCTAAAAATTGTGAAAGTATCATACTTACTTTTTGTTGCTTTTCTTTTAAAGCTAGCTGATTCTTTAGTCGTTCCACTAGATTCTTCATTGTAGTTGTTGGAGACCTGCTATTTGCTTCTCTTTGTATCTCCAACTCACTTTTTATATTCAGTAGCTCTTTTCCCATTTTTGACAACAAACTCCTTAATTCTTCTATTTCATCTTGCAGTCTTTTAACTCTACCTTGATGCTCCTCCTCAAGCCTAGTGCAACAAAATTATATATATAATTGAATTCCACTATTAAATTGAGCACAGCCAGGTAGACTAAGAAACATTCAAACATTATTCATAAATATTTCTCAAAATATTTATATCAAAATTTAAACTAATTTACTGGTAACTAAACTTAGTGATGTTATTAAAAGGCGAGGAGTGAGACAATGATAAAAGCTCTAAAATATTATTCAATTAATTTTAAATTTATATAGTGATAATTAGTTCAAAATTTAATTACTTATGCAACAGAGAAGAGCAACGAGGATGATTAGGGGACTGGAGGCTAAAACATACAACTAACGGTTGCAGAAACTGGGCTTGGCTAGTCCAGTAAAGAGAAGGACCAGGGGACACATGATAGCAGTCTTCCAATATTTGAGAGGCTGCCACAGGGAGGAAGGTTCAAGCTATTTTCTAAAGCGCCTGTAGGCCAGACAAGGAATAATGGATGGAAACTGAACAAGGAGAGATTTAACCTGGAAATAAGGAGAAACTTTCTGACAGTGAGAACAATCAACCAATGGAACAGCTTGCCCTTGGAAGTTGTGGGAGCGCCATCACTTGAGACTTTCAAGGAGAGATTGGACTGCCATTTATCAGAAATGGTGTAGGGTCTCCCGCTTGGGCAGGGGGTTGGACTAGATGACCTACAAGGTCCCTTCCAACTCTGATTATCTTTTATCTGTTATCTGTTACAAGACTCAGTTGTAAGTCAAGAAAACTGGTCAAGTTTTTCTAAAGATGAACCATGCAGAAGTATCACAACTTCAGTTTATACTTACTGGGCCCTGATGTTATCAAACTCCTTGATTTTTACTGCAGTTATCTGCTTTTGCTTCTGTAAGTCAGACGATGCTTTCTTTAATTTGCTGAGAAGGGAATTAAGGGAACTGTCCTGTTCTGCTATAGTTTGTTCCAGTTCTGCCAGACGAATTAAATGCTTACTTGCCGGAACAGCTAAAGAAGGCTTTCGAATCAACTCCTATAGAACAACAAAGATTGAAATAAATTTTTCTGTACTCATTTATTTCATTTTAATATTTTAACATCAAAAATCAAAATTTCTTGCCAATATATCGTAAGAAGAAGTTAATTTAGTTCATATAATTCTCAATTCAGAACATACACATCAGTCAAAATTAGGAACTTTCAAAGTCACAAGAATTTCATTAGTAGATTTAAATATTCTCCTTAAAGTCATCATTAGGATGATATATTTTTCTTCAGATCAGTGTGAAAAATGGTCATAAGTCACTTTTTTCAGTGCCTTTGTAACTTTTGTAACAATTACTAAGCAAACTGTTGTAAGTCAGGGACTATATGTACAAGTTAATGTTTATCTGCATAATGAAATAGCAAATATTGCCCATTTCTTTGTATTTCCTCACAGGAATTGCTCCAAATAAAAGGTTAAGAGTGTCAACTCAACCTGTTAGTTCCATCAGTGGGGTAGCTAGTTTAATAATAAAAACAATAATAATGTGCAAGTATGACAAAAGAAAGCAGATAGTATCAACGATGATAGGTGCCTTGGTTCAAGTGGTGCTCCAATTGAATCCCAATCCCAGTTCAATTGGAGCACCACTTGAACTCCACTGACATTGATAAAATCAACACCAGTCAATTGCAAAAGGCAGCTTCATCTGAATCCCTGATGTCCTGCACTGATACCTTGAATACTATGAAATAATATCACCTTATCCCAGGTCACGGGAAAGGCTCAATAGGTGGGCAAAAATGCCACATCCAGTCTAAACTTCTGGTTGACTGCACAATCAACCATAATAATTTTTCTGTTTTACCTTTATGCCATAAGCATTTAGTTTAGAAACAAATAAAACTTCTTATACTTACTAAAGCTGTTTGCTTGAATTTATTAAAGGAACTGTCAACGTGTACATCTAATTTCTGGTGCAGAACTCTGAGCTCTTCTTCATGTTTCTTTGCAATTTCTTCTTGTTCCTAAATAATACATTTACGTTTCTTATAACAATAGACTTTGATAATTTCTGCTATTTCATTTAATTATTAAAAACAGGTGAGAATACATACACACACACATACATACATACATACATACATACACACACATGTTCATTCATTCAGTGATTTAGACTCATTTTGTTTCTGCAGACTTATTCCTCCCAAATCTATTCAAATACTAAATCAGATTACAAAATACAAAGAAAGCCAAACTAACTGTCCACATTTTACATTTTCAAAATAAGATTACTTATAACTTTAATATGTGACCTTCTTATATTTCTTTTTTCTTCTTTGTCCCTATTAAACTGTTACTTTCATTCCTTTATATGCCTACCTAGGAGTGTTTTTCATAAATGATGCACAAAAATATTCAAGAAAAATAACTGAAATAATAGGAAGATGCCAACAGAAAGTATTGGTGTACAGTGTTTTTTTTTCCCAAGCCTAACCACAAATCCCATTATGAAACCTAAATATTCAACCTTCATTTTTATTTAAGAATTCTAAATTATAATACCTCTCGTGCTTTGGCCAAAAGATGTTGGTACTTCTTCAGAATTTCTTCTTTTTGATTTAATCTAGCTTGCATATTTGCAATGGTCTGATGTGCGATTTTCAGAGCATGGGGGTAGGTGTTATCATCAATTTGATCTAGCTGCGCTACCAATTTCTCTCTTTCGGATGATGCTGGCAATTGCAGTCTTAGTTCATTTATGACTTTGTCTCGTGACAAGATGTTTTGCTCTGCTTTCCACAAAGCGGCTTCTTTTTCTTTTAGCTTCTGAAACAAAGAAAATCCATATTATTGAAAATTGGTTATAATTAATTTCAGCAATATGTACATTTTACATGACATTTCAATCAATTATGCTTCTATTGTGATATGATCAGCCTTAAATATAAAACGTGTGCGGATTTTTTTAAAAAAAACAACCCTACAACTTTGTAACCTTCTCCGAATTAAAAATACTAGAAGAGCAGGAAGGAAGGTTTATGGTGGTGTGGGTAAAAGTGGAGTGATAATGATAATGGAGGCAACTGCAAGAGAAGGAACTCAGGATTTTCTAGTTAGCAGCTCTGGAAACAGAAAATATAAAAAAATAATAACAGGAGATAATTTGGGGAGAGCTAGCTAGTTTTTGCTAAAGACATTTAGTTTTATCTTTCATTGCTTAGATCCTGTACAATCAGATCCAGTTACAACTTTCAAAATGCCAATAGTAATACATTTATTTGTTTATCTTGTCATCATAGCTAAAAAATGAACTTTAATTTATCAACTAATAAGTTGACATGTTAAACTATCACAAAATAATTTAAACTCGTAGATTAAGGCTTAAGTAGTCAGAATTTGATCATCCTACTAGTTAATGGTAATCACAAAAATTAAAATGCTTTTATCAAGAAATCAAATTAAATTGATATCATTATGCTGACATTTCATTAACAACATTTTCTATTTTTCCATTTTCACTTAGGTAAACCTAAGAAATTTTGGTCTCAGTTAACACTCTCAGGTTTCCAGCTTATATACTATTTAAGTGATAATTATTGTAAATTATTTGTGGAAAGTAATTAAAAACAGAGTTCCTAAGCTTGCTTGAATAATGATAATTTTCTCCCTCTCTTGGTCTGATAACATCATTAAAAGCAAAAGATTCAATTAGGTGAGTAGTTCTATTACCTCTTCTACAGATTTGCAGGTGGCTTGCATTTCCAGAATTGTTCGACTTTGTTCCCTAACTGTTTTAAGAGCTTGCTCAAGCTGATGTGGAAGAGTCAAGCTAGGATCTGGAAGTGTACCTGCAGCTTCATTAAACTGTAAACGAGAGAAGTAAATGGAAGATAAAGAAAGCAGCTCCCCACCAAAAAATATGGCTCTATTATATAGCTTTAAATCAATGTAATTACCTTCTGAGCTGTACTTAATAGGTTCTGTTTCTGACTGTCATATATATCCAGCTGACGTTCTAATTCTACTTCTCTTTTATCCCAGGCCATCTGTCGCTCCTCATGGAACTACAATTTTATATGAAGAATGACATCTAAGAATGACACCACTATAGCACAATGGTATAAATAAACTTAAATGCAAAAAATGTTTTTATGAAAGATTAACAACAGTAATATTCTTAAGAGTACATAATTTTTTTGAAGAAAAAAATTGATAGTGGTATTTTTTCTGTACCTGGCCCTGCTGAACAATTTCTTCTTCCAAATGATTGATTGTCTGTTCATATTCAGAGAGGATATTTTTTAAATATTTAATCTCCTCATTTTTCCTGGATAATTCACGATTTAGTTTAAGTTGTTGGAGGCGAAGTTCTTCAATTTTCACATGCCACTCAATTACCTGATAATTTATAACAAATCAAGTCTCAACAATAATTTAAACAACACAATTAATTAATTCCAGTAAAGTAGTATAATAGTCAAGAATTGAACAACCATTATAACTTTTTAGCAAGGAATAAAAGGCTTTGAAATAAGGAATTCTTGATGTCCCTATACAAAGTTTAGTGTACATCTAAAATCTCTTCACATTTTGGTCCTAACTAACAAGATGACTTTATAAAGGAAATATAAATCACTGTGCACCACTAAGAAGGCTAGAAAGACATGCATATAGACAGGGGTGATAAGAATAATATCCAAAGCCTGATCTGGCATATGCAGGATTACATATAAAAGCTTTCAATTTAAGACTGAATGTCTCAAACCTTTTGTGCTCCTCTTGCATCTTTTAAAGTGGCTACTAGTTCTTCTATTCCTTTTAATTTCATCTCCATCTCCACTGCTCTGTTCTCTGCATTTCGACGTTCTTGCTGAGCTTTCTTGATATCTTCCATAGTTTTAAGTTTGTCATTCTGCAGTTGAATCATAGTCTTGGAGAACTTCTCTTGTTGAGCTAAGGGCAAAGCACCACTAAATTGCCTCCGTAATGACTGAACAGTTTGGCGTAAATGTTTGACTCTATTCTTCCCTTCAACTCTTGCATAATACAATGCTTGCTCTTTATCATCCAATTTTTGCTCTAAGCGCATATTAGCGATCTCTGCCTTCTGAAGTTTTGATGTTGCAGCTGCCAACTTAGTCATAGCTGTAGCCTCACTAACCTGAATGGCCACAATATGCTGATGTAATTTTGCAATAAGTGTTTTTTCATCTGATTGTACCTATAATCCCCAAAAATAAAAATAAATTAAATGTGTTTAAAAGAATAATACTACAAAGAACACTAAAAATTATGCTGGGTATCAGAAATCCCACCTGATAATCCAAAATCTGCATTCTGAGTGATTCCACTTCCTTATCTCTCGATTGTTGCCGATTCTCCAGTGCAGTAACTTGTGCCTTAGCAATATCAGAAAGCTCCTTTAACCTTATAGCAGAGACACATGAAAGCTTTCTTTATAATAACCCCCAGTTTCATAACTTTGGAATAAAAAGTTAATTTAACAAAAGAAATCTGTCTTAATATTTTCCCATTAAAAAGATCTTGTGACATACATATATAGGAAAAAGATGATCTGCTGGGTAAATATCAATATACTTCCTCAGTTTTCAGCAAAGGGATACAGTTTAAAACTTACTTTGATATCTCAATCTTGAGTTCAGTTTCACTTTTCTCTAGCTCCATTATTCGATGTTTATCCACATCACTTATTTCTTTACTCACACTGTTTGACAGTTCATCTCGCAAAGACTGTTCTACCTTCTGTGCTTCAAGGTTGATTTTTGTAAGCTAAGAAAAATCAAATTGAAATGAATTTCACTGAGGTAATATATAACGATGTCCAAACATACAGCTGGATTATTTATATCATGTATATTTTTATATTCTTAAATCTGAAGAATAAGATTTTAAAAACAGGCATCTGGCTAGGGCTTAGCATTTAAATGTAGCTTTGTTTTCAGTTGCATCTGTAACTCCTTGTGACTTACTAAACTAGAAGGAAACACAATCAGTCTATATCTATTGCATATTTCACTCAGTGCAAAAAATCTAGGTAAAGTGTTTTCATGCAATTACATTCACAGATTTCAAAGCATACATTTAAGGAACTATGTATGAAATCATAATCTCTACAAATACTGAAATAAAGATCTAGTAAAGTGTGTAGTACCTAGGCTAAATCTATGAGAAGAGGAGAGAAGATATGTATATATTTAATCTGACAGCTGTTTATACTGTTAGAACTTGGGATGTTACATTACAGCATAAGACATTTATCTTTGAAATACATACAGGAGTTTGATCTTTTATGTCAAATTGCAAATTTCAGCAACATCATAAAATAATACAGCAGCAACATCATAAAAAATAATTTATAATATATTACAGCAAATGTTTTTGTTGCTGTTTGTTTTGAAAGAGTTATAACCCATTACAATCCCAGCTGATGATACAAAGTTGTAATTCTTTTCATCCAATCCATTACCAAAAGGCAGAAATGAATGGCAGAAACCTGAAGCAGCAATGAGATTTCCAAAGCAAAACTCACTTACAGTCTTTTGCCAATTTACTTGAAATACAGCTCACTAAATCAATGGAAGCTACTCATAGGTAAACATGTATATTATTGCACCTTTTACATCAGTATAGATCTTGAGCATGTACATGCTCCCTGTTTTAATCAATTGCCCCTAAAAGCCTCTATCACCATGAATTCTTTTTAAAACCAACAAGTTAACTCAATGACAGATAATTACAAAAACAAAAGCAATCTATAATTGTATCAAACACTTTATACAAGCTACATAATAAAGCTTAATAACCACCTCAGCAAATTTTGTTTCCAGTTCAAAGTTACGTTCTTCTGCTTGTTTTAATGTATATCGTAGTTGTTCATACATTCTCTGACAATGTTCTGCTCTCTGACGTTCATTTAGTTCCTTCATTTCAAGCATAGTAATTTTCTTAGAAATAGAAACAATCTCACTGTTGGTTATGGACTTTGTAGCTTTGTCTGTAGCACTGTCTCCTAATAACAGCAATAATATAATCATTATCATCATGTATAATAAAATGCTACTCAGATGTACTACATACCTTAAACAGAAATAAAATATAATACTACTGTTATAGAGGAACAATATGTTAAATTTTCCAAAATGTTTATTCTTTTAATATAAAAATAGGAACATGACCCAGCAGTCTAATGATCATTTAATTATAGCAGATTAATAATTTGTTGATGATTTAATCCCATTTGTGAATTTGGAATACTTCATTTTTTCACTTAAGGCAGAAGAAACCAATTTTCCCAAATAGGACAAACCATCTAACATGTTAATGTTCTAATAATACAAAAGAAAGGAAATAGAGATATATCTAAATACTATGTTCTTTGTTCAACTCAATACATGGATGTAATTAAGAATCTTACTCTTGCCAAATTTAAAATGTGAAATTGGTATTCCATCACTTCCCAAGTAAAAATAAAAATATATAAACTTGTCAAATTGCTAGTTTTACAGAAAAAAAGTAAAATGTATTACCATATCTTTTTACCGTAACTATGTGCTTACCAAGTTTTGCTGTTTGTTCCCAGGCTTGTTCAATTGTATGAAATTTCTCCTTTGTAATTTCTAGTTCCTTATTCAAAGATTCTATCTGATTTTTCAGAGATGTGTTCTCATGCTATGAAGGAACATGTAAAGGTACATTATTTTTCTACTGTAAATATAATTTGAATGGAATAACAGTACTGATTTTTCTATGTTAATTTGAATGAAATATACTTTGACTTTAACAAGAGTTTCCTGGGACCACTCCATAAAGTTCTCTTTCTAATTCTTGGTGATAATGAAGCATATAATTGGATTTGATAACAGCTCAAAAAGTAAATGAAGGGATGAAGGGAACAATATAAAGTTTCTTCAAAGTAATATAATAGAAATAATATTACCTCAAGGTGTTCCACATTGTTTGTTCTTTGAATAAGCAAGTTATCTCTTTGAAGCATATCCCTGTATTTAGCAGTTAACTCATTATATTGTTTATTAGCCATTTCAAGGTCATTTAGAGGTACACTATCATCCAATGCTTTTTGCAATGCTGCTATCTTGAAAGTTGCCATTTCCTAAATTGAAAAAGAGAATGTTGTCAATAGTCCAAAGGAAATTATTATTCCAAGAGTTACTAGAAACATATCTGTAGGAGTGGCTGAGCTTGGAGACAGAGTCAAAAGAAGAATCAGTCTAGAGTTTTTATGTTGCACAAGCAGACCAAGTCCAAACCTTCATGAAAGCCAGCTGGGCAGCTTTGGGCCAGACACACTCTCAATCCAAATCACCTCACAGGGTTATTATTATGGGGAACATA